TTTTTTCAACATAATTGAACAATCAATTCGAGGAATTGGAAATAATCTAAATTTCGTCAGTGGCGTAGAAAATATGGGAGGAAAAGTTATCACAACCCCCTGTAGCGCACCTATGGATAACATTCTTGGAATATCTTCCTGGTCAAAAAATGAACCATTGAATGATGAAACCATATACCGAATTTGAATGCATTATAATCCATTTTTCTTGAGATATTGCGAAAAACCTATCTGATTTTCTTAACTTCAACGCCCTGTATCTCAGTAATCATGAAATCACGAGTGCTATCACCTGTCGACCCTGTATATAGGCTGATTCACATCAGACGTTTCTTGAGAACTCAACGTAGGATTATTCTGAAAACTTGGTACCTTGTATAATCAGTTGTGCTCTATCGACCTGAAATATTCTCAGTGCTGCGACGTTGCCGCTTATATTGAAAATTAGCAACAACTTTGATTTTTTAAATGGGACACCCTGTTTATTATTCCATGTTCAGATTCTCCCTGAAGAGCTGATTTCATTGACCGATAACACTTGAGGTCTAGCATTGAGAATAACAGAGTTAATATAGGGTGTGAAAAATCGAGATTTTTCAAATTTAAGATATTTTTGTGTCGAAACTATTCATAATTGGTCAGAATGATTTCGATGTCCCTATCTCAAGTTCTCATGTACTATCAATTGATATTTAATTGAAATAGATGCAGGGTGGTTGAAAATCCTAATTCTGAACCACCCTGTACCGATTTCAATTAAATATCAATTGATAATAAATAAAAAGTTGAGTCTGAGAAATGGTAATCGTTTTGACCAATTATCAATAGTTTCGATACAAAAACATCTTGAAGTTGAAAAATCTCGATTTTTCACACCCTATATCTCTGCAATTGTCACTGCTAGACCCCAAGTGTTATGAGTCGATGAAGTCAGCTCTTCAGGGAGAATCTGAAAATGGAATAATATACAGTGTGTCCCATTTAAAAAATCATATTTGTTGCTTCGTTTCAATATTGGATTTTTTATCAACATATTGGATTTTATTTTCAATATAATATTGAATTTTTTCTCAATATATTGGATTTTTTTCTAATAAATGGTATTTATTTGAAAAAATAAATTATTATAATTGTATGACCCCTAGACGCTTTCGTGATTCGTGGCCTTGAGAAAAAAATATCGGTAATAATTTTTCTGCTAGGAAGTTTATAAGTGAAAACAATATTCTGTATTTCAAGCGTAGCTAAATATTCATTTTGAGAGAGAGCTATAGGAATGTAATCCATTTTGGAGGTGCGACTAATCATAAACTTGATTAGGTGTGAAAATTGATTACATCTTCAACACGTCAGCGTTGTTACGGTTGATAATGGTTTTATATACAGGTGGTCTGAATTGGCCATTAATTGGGGTAGGAAAATCTGGATGGACTGTCACATGGTTCACTAAAAACTAATTTAAAAAGTGACGAGTACAAATTGTTGTTTAAAAAGCGTGTTCATTTATCTAATTTTTTATATTATTTTTGAAGTATCTGTCTAAGCCTCATAGGACCAAGAACCGGTCTCATCAAACTTGTCTTCAATACATGTTACATGGTAATTATAAAATCATATTTTCAATATGCAAATAATGAATAACTTACAAATATATGACGAATTGAAATAGTTGGAATTCTATTTCTTGGGTACATCAATCAAAAGAATCAAGCATGGAAGACACCGTAAAGATTATGAAATAAAACAAGTATCACATCATTAGAACATATAATTGAGTACAAGGAAAAAGCTGTTGAAGAACCTCAATATACAGGGTGTTTCCTAACTACGTTTACTAACTGCAAGTGGTGATTCGATAGAGGGCGTTGAAATCGAACTGAACTGAATCAGTTATTATGATTGTGTTCTTTCAAAAGAATTTGATTAGTTAGAATGCATGTTAACTGATTAAGATCAATCTAACTGAAATATGCCAGTTCAGAAGGAAAGAATATCGTGGGATCCGGAACATAAAAAAAAAATGTTTTTGCGAGGTTTTTTGTTTGAGCTTATTGGTTCAAGTTGTTACCGTCAGGTGGAGTGACGTGTTATTTTCAATCACATATAACATAGTGAATAGTTTAGTGGCGCAGACTAGAGGTTAGACAAGGAGAGATTCATCGGACCTCTCTATATTTCAATGCAGCCAGGTTGGTAGTATTGAAGAGAAAGATGGAAGAGGAGAGAAAAAGGTGAGACTGGATTGATTTTAGTAATTCTGTGGTTCTGTGCTGAAAATTGTGAGGTTATATTTTCATTTTGACATGCTTTCAGCTTTGAAGTTTAAGTCCACAGGTTGAATCCTTTGAATACTCACTACAATAATATTTTTATGCTCCTCTTCAATTTCCTCATAGCCATTTTACATTTTGATTGAATCATGTTGGGTTATGTTTTCTTCCCTTGTCCTTCCTGACGTGTTCTTTTTATTCAATCGACAACTCAGATCCGTCTCATCGCCTCCAATTGATCTCAGTAGTGAGAATATTACAAGGTGAAAAGAATATTGCTCATGATTCACGATGGAATACCGATGAGTCTCTATACCATAACCTCAAAGTGTACAACGCTTGTAAGGTGTGTTAGTCGTTAGTCATTTCGGATTTTTTCACGTTATTGTCAGCACATGCTACGTGTCTGGAATTAGATAACAGGAACAGGGCAGGTAACAGCCGCGTATTAATTTACGTGTAGAGCTTCAGTCAGTTTAATTTCAGATAGGTAACATAATATCGGGTGAAAAACAGAAGAGGACCATCTGGGGGATACGAAAGGAACTTAATGAAGCCGTTTTCATGCACCTTCCGAGGGAGAAACGTTTAGAGGATGGTGCCATATCGAGTGACAGTTTCCATGCTGATATATTGAAAAAACTTAGCGATGGGTGGTTATTATCAAGTTACTTTTATTTTTTTAATGGAGTCTTGTTTGCTAAAGACGCATCGATCAATTTGATGAGTACTTCATTAAAATGAGTGCAGCGAATGGGAAATTCACTATATCCAATGTAAATTCAAGTATGCATTTGGCTAAATTATACTTTATCTACTAACGTCAAAAAATGTCGAGGTTGGCACATCGATTAAAATATGCTTGGTCCTTTTTTTCCATTTCCCTAATTCACTACGAAACCGTGCGCAAAAACCCAAGAAATCATTCATTTTCAAATTTTTTACAATAATTGGAGCTTTTTCAAGCTAGTTCAATAATATTTATTACTCAATTTAGAACAATATTTTTTGACGTTTGCAGACAACATTTTGTTTACAATTCGTACGCGAAATACTTGATGATGATCTCGACCATTTTTTCGAGATCACCAAAGTAAAGGGTGTATCTAAATAGCACCGAAAAATTCCTTGTGATATTCAAGGAATAAAGTTCATATAACTTGCTTCGTTTTCGAGATACAGGGTATTAATATTTACATGAAAAATCGTTTTCCTTTCATTACTCAGTTGTCTTTTCATCAATTTCAATAAAACGTTGTGGTTTTGTTAATAGTAATATGAGGCTTCTTCTGGTGCAATTAGATTCGAAATAATAATTCCAGTGTCGTCACAGTGGGTAAATGTATCAATATTTATGGTGAATATCATTGTAAGCCACCGGTTTAATATTTTTATTAGATTGAACTATTGAAATAACAACTATTTTATCCTATGTGTGATTTTTGTATCTAGCTTAATTTTTGAGGAAACAAAAAAAATTCGATTCGACTCAAAATTTTAATATATAGACGTGTTTTCAAGATTTCGATTACCCAATAACCCCAATAAAAATCATTTTGAAATGTTGGGTCTTTCTCAGTCTCCAACGATACTGAATTTTGGCACCATGGGAACTTATACAGGTGGGTTATAAATAAAATCAATTGATACTTCCAACTTCAACATCCTGTATCTCAAAGACGGGGCAAGGCAGGACACAATCATGTTTATATGAACTTTATTCGCTAAAATAACACCAATTGAATTTTCTTGGTGTTATTTAGATGCACCCTGTATACTCGGATCTAGAAAAATAAATGTGCCACCTCTTCGATTAATCTACAGGTATGCTTCAATGCTTCAAAGCTCTATTTTCAGCGTGAGTATTGTTATAGATGAAGATTTGATAGAACAACAATTGGGTAAAAAAATATTGTTTCAGTCATACTAATTCCTAGTTTTGAAGATTTTTTCTACATTGTAGTACAGGCGTTGTTGTCTTGTTCGTTTCATTCATCAGTACACACTGTAGTATTACTCAATCCAGAAAAATCGTAATTTGTAAGATTTTGGTTATAGGTGATTAAGCATAAAATTGAGGTCATCAACAACTAAGACTGATAAATCTATGGTAAAATTGCATTCAGAAAGAAGAAGCGTATCGAGTTTATTAAATTATGTAGAGAAATCTTGGAGACCTTTAAATGAAGCCCAACCCACTTAACAGCATCCATATATTGAATTCTTACAGACCAGTCAATGTGCATTGAAAACATTTAGAAAGTTATGGAACTTTGAGATGATAACAAGTCAACGGGTATATATAATAACTATAAATCCAAATTTCGCATTCTCCTTCTAGAAATGGATACAAAAAGCTCAAAGTAATTTCCACAGAATGTTTAGAAATGAAAAACAACTACTTTCATCTTCCCGAAATATATACATCGACTCGTGTTAACGAATACTGATAAAAGTGATTCGTTCCTGAATGCCTATTGATTCCGATTTAGCCAGGTCACGCTAAACACCTACAGACCGGTTTCGAGCTCTTTAGCTTTCATCAGTGCAGCATTATTGCTATTTCGTACTAGAAATTACGCTAATCGGGCAACCAGCCACTCTCGTATGGTAATTTTGGTTTTGGAGTGTTTCTTTCCTTCTAGGAATGGCGTTGCTCTCATATTGTCTATTTAGGACGCCTCTGAGAGAATATAATGCCGACTTGATTTTTGTTTGACTAGGCTACGCTTAGTCGGCGGTCTTAAGACTGCTGGCTTGAGACTGCCCTGTACTGATGAGAGTCAAAACGCTCGAAACAGGTCTGTAGGTGTCTAGCGTGGCCTGGCTAAATCGAAATCGATAGGTTTCCAGGAAAGAGTCACTTGTATTCGTTTATACTAGTCTATGCATAGAACTCAGGAGAATGTAATTCAATGTTCTGCGTGGCATTTGCCAGGAAAGTAGTTGTTTTTCTCCCGAAATTCATGATTGTTGTTTATTTTATGAAAGTTGTGTGGAAATGACTGAGAGACGATGGAGAGAGAGGTGCAGGAATCGGATTCATAATTTTCACACTTCATCCGAGATTACCTCACAGCTCGATAACCTTCTATACTTTTTAACAATTTTTAATATGATAACTTGGCTATTTATTGAATATCCACACTGAAGATAAATAGAGAAACTTCTGATTCAAGAGTTATCTAAGCATATTTGCATAGCTGTGTTTAGATTTTCGCTCGGAATTTCGTTGCACAGAAACTCTTCACATGATGGTATAACCTCGAATTGTTTAAATATTATGATATGTAATTTTTGCAGTTGATCAAAACGTGCATTCAAATTTAAAATAAGCACTATATGAAGCTGTCTATAATGTGATATGTATATTTGATAAACAGAAACATCAAAGATATTCCCATACAAATAAACAAACATTTTTCAAAAAAATAATGTGAACTATAGAATTATTCGTTATTAAATTCGTTGAAAATATGAATAGTATATGCAAGACCGCAGGAGCATATTGATATTGTCAATAGCAACGATAATATACCGAGTGGCAAAGGGTAACGGACACCCCTGTAATTTGGAACAATGGGCGAGTGGACCTAAACATTGACCGAAAAATTCTTTAAAAATATGAAGTTGAAAGGTATTTGAGTGATGATTCTATTCAAGAAATAAAAAGGATTAGTCCACTTGCATACTATTTCGGATTTGATGATATTACAGTCCAATATGGCGGACGAGATGGCGGACTTCTGGTTTTTCTGGAAATGCCATCAACTTTGTTCATTCGAATGAAACTCCCTGTATATTTTGACCTATTCAAGTGCGATTAGTCAAAATAAGTGCAATCCTTATGGTAAGATTCAGAAAAGTTGTTTTTCACAGCTCACTTGGAAAATTATTCGAACTGCATGGAAATTCTTGAAACTAGTTTCAGTTTCTATCTTTGAATGTATACAATTTGTTACTGTACCATTATAAAAGAATTACATGAATTTTTCTTGTCCTCAATGTATGTTTTGAAGAGAAATGTAGGTGATAGAGGATCCACATGAAAAAAATATTTTTTCGATCAAAATGTGTGACACAAAAAATAGTTTTTAAGGAAAAATTATGTTTCTCTAGTGTGGGACTCCTTGTGAATAGCCTTGACCACATCTCATTTATTGACGAGGTAAAATAAACAAACTATTTTGAATTACATTTTTTCGAAAAAATGACATTCGACATAACGATTGCACTTGTTTTGACCTGTTGAACAAGAATATGTGAAAATATACAAGGTGTTGCATTTGAGAAAAAAAAAAAGTTGCTGGCACTTCCAGCAAAACCGGATTCCCACCATATTGGATTGTAATGTTATCAAATCCAAAATAGTTGATTATATAACTGTACCAAAATTTCAGAACAATCTCATCATGAATGCAGAAGTTACATCAGGGGTGTCCCGATACTCTGTATCACCCTGTATAGTATGAATAATATAGAAGAAGAAGCTTCCTTATTTCTCTGGAATATCATTTGACTCTACAATCAATATGTTTTTCATTTTCAATAAGGGGATAATTAATTATGTTGAGGTGATTTTGATTTATCGATATGTCTTTTCTTCAAATTGTTCTCATGTATCCACTATTCTAGAAAACTTCCAAACGCTATGGAGATTCGTCAAGCAATTTAATTCCTATCTCCTCCAGGTGAATTCAATTGTAAACGAATAAATGATTCCATTAAAACTTTTCACATACATTTTTTGATTGCCACCCACTATTTCCCGTACTCGTTCATTATCTCCGGAACAATTTGAATTCAAATTGCCGGTATTCTACACACCCCCCAATCTTTGGTGGCGAACAGGACTCTAATTAAATTCTAGAGGGTGTTTCAGCATGAGAAAATTCAAGAGATATATTATTTGCATATTTTCCTGCATCCAAAAGCTCCAAGCGATGATACATGCTTAGAGGTTTTGCATATCAAAGAAACGTTTAAAGGGATGCCTTTGGATCGTTTAGAACCTTGCTTCCGGGGGATGTTCAAACAGAGATTACCGGGGGTAATATTCTTTGATTAATGTGCATGACAGTGTGACACTAGGGTGTTTTGTTTAAACTATATTTCCTGGAATATAATCTGAAGGTTCCAATAATGCGTTGAAAGAGTCAGTTGTTTGAAATTATTATTAGTGATAACCCATTTGAGAATGATATCCTTCAATTTTCCAGCTCAGATAGTTTTTGTATTGACTGAAATATCTGAATGTTTGACTACTGATAGATCTAGTCTAGGATCTAGTTGTCATAATTATAACATTCTTCATTCTTTTCCTTTAGATTTCAGAGGATTTTTGCGACCTCTATATACAGGGTATCCCTCGAGGCGAGCCTCGAGGTATCCAAAAGAAACGTTCGTTTACTTACGGAAAATCATCCCGCAGATAAAAATAAGAGAAGAACTGTTTCTATCAAAATGTGCCTGAAAATGTTTGTTCCTTAGGTTCCTTAATGGAGTTTTCTTCAATTATTTTTGGTACCATTGATTCTAGAAAGGGACATGAAAGCCGTTTTGACCGATAATAAATAGCGAATAAATAGTTTCGACAAAATAGAAATCGAGAAAAATTCCCGAGAAAAATCCCGAAGTTGAAATATCTCGAGGTTGAACACCCTATATATCTTTAATCATTCACGGTTGACCGAAAGTGTGATGCACTGATGAAACTTCAGGGAGAATCTCAAAAATGCAATGTAAAAATCAGAGTGTTCTCTTTGAAATATCAAAATTGCTAGTACTTTCTGGTATAAGCGGCAATGCTGCATTGAGTAACCAAATTTTAGGAATAATTATATGTCCCGTTCTCCGTAAACGTCTAAGGTACCATCGAGGGGTAAATCACGGGCCAATTTCGGGTACACTGCACTTTGTCAAAAGAATTCCTGGAATTTCTGGAACTACCCAAGGAATTCCTGGGACTACTCGAAGAATTCCCGGACTCCCTAAAGAATACCAGGAATTCCCAAAGGCTACCTGGACTTTTCAAGGAATTCCTAGACTTCCCAAGAAATTCCCGGACTTCCCAAAGAATACCCGGACTACCCAATAAATTCCCGGACTCCTCAAGGAGTTCCTAGAATTCCAAAAGAATACCCGGACTTCCCGAGGAATTTCTGTCTCGAGTACACTGGACTCTCCAGGTGATTTACCCCCATCTTCCGTGCCCCACCCGTATAGGGAAGTATTCTCGGGCACATGTTGATAGAACAATTTTTTCCTAATTTTTATCGGTAGAATCACTTCCGGAGAATACGATCGATATTATAAGACACAGCAGAGAATTGATTTGATTGCCATACAAAGAAGGCATAGTCAGCAAAGTGCTGATGAAAGGAAATTGAAAGGAAAGCCATCTTCAGCAAAAATTATACACAAATTATTGGCCACATATGAACCAGAACTGCGTTAACTTCGATCACGTTTTCGGAACGAACGATATATATCTTCCTCTCTCTCTGGAGAAGTGAAACATAGCATTATCTTTGAAGGAAATTATGAAGCTTAATGACTAATACGAAATTAACTGTTTTCAAGCACTCTATACCCAATATACCCGAAGAGCCGTGGGAACTGCTTAGACCTCTTCGTGATTTCTTCGGGGATATACATTTGAAAGCTGTACGTGAATGTAAATATACACGCTGTAGAAGCGCATCTCATCCTCCACTTTCAGAACCAACCAATTACGTTGGACGAGCAAGGAAAGCTGTCGTAATGTTCACCTTTCGACCGTTATTAATTTTTTTAGTGCCAGAGGTTGTACCGTACCATCTCACTTTCAAGACTTCAGTAGTGTCAGTAGGAAGTTTATGGAAAAATAATGAATCCTCAAGTTTATGACCAAAGGAAAATTTGATTTTGAGAGAAGTGTTGTTTGTGAAGTAGATGTCGCCAATGGTGATGATATCAATGAAGTTCAAGAATACTTATTGAATTACCGTTCAATACCAAGGAATTGATAAGAGACTGCTTTTATATATTCTTGGAAAGCTCACTTCATGCTTAATGAATATATGAAATAATATACAGGGTGTTCGATTTGAAAAAACATATGTTCGCTCCATAACTAAAAAACAAAAGGTGCTAGCAAAAAAATAATTACGTCACTGGATTCTACGACAAAATCTCTATGAGAACAAGTTTTAACTTCTTCGATAAGTTCAAAGATAACTGAGACACGGGGGGTGCCTGAAAGTGATATTTTTCAATTCCACCCTGTATCTCGACAACCGGAAGAGCTTTCACAATTCTGCTTGCGCCATTATTAATTTCATAAAAAAGTAGCACACTGTCGCGAAAACCGCAATGCTCTATCTTTACTGATAAGGGAGATACCTCGCAAAAGTGCCCAAATTTGGATACCCTGTACAGTGTGACACACAAATTTTCGATATTTTGCTCCGCCTTGGAGATGCCGGAAATAGTTATTTGAGAAAGATACATCAAAATCGATTTTGGCCCAAAATACCAAATTTCAACGAAAAATTCGTATTTTGAATTTTTTACATTTTTATATTCCTCCGATTTTTGATTCATGGTTCTGGATAAAAAGCTACAGAAATGATGAAATAATGAAATTAACGATTGAAATTAGTAACATTCAAAATTATTATTTCATCAAATGTAAGTTAATCGACTGTCTATTTATCGATAGTGAGGATTACTTAGCTGTGGGCACGTGTAGGTTTTATATACGAAATAATTTATTCAAATTTCTCGTAGCAGAGCGTTTCGACTATACAGTCATCATCAATGCGTACTCGTGAGGCTGACAATAAAATCACCTAAAAAAAATATCTTCCATCCAGTTAAGTAATATTAACATTATGACATACTGTCGGCATACTGTCGTGTTGAAGTAAAGTGAAAAAAAATTGAATTGATCATTCTGCACAAAATACATTTTTCACTCTGTAAAAACTTCACAAACAATGAGATTTCCCCAAAATGCTCAATCACACGAACATGTTTCGCTAACACAGTAGCTAGAGAACATCGTGAGAACCAAGGAAAATGAGGTAGGAATTGGTGTTCTCCTCAAATTTCGGGAGGTTATATGCCTCGGGGAACACCTCCCTTGGCAATGTGTTCCAGAGCCTCGTTGTTCGTTGGATGAACGAGTATTTGGAAAGAGATGTTATGCAGGTCTCCAAAGTGACCACGAAGGGGTGCGAAGCCTCAACGGGTTAATCTCGCGGGGACTGTCAAGGGAGGAACAATTGTTGATATCTCAGAAGAACAACGTCCATGAAAATATCTATGAAATAGAGCCAGATCGCCAACTTTTCTACGGTGTTCCAGAGAAGTGAGTGAGTTTGTGAGCGAGGCGTCACCCACGAGACGAATTTTGTGGAAATCTCATCTTTTGCTAAGGATTTCTATCAAGTAACGACCGAGTCAATTGAAAATTTGTACTCCTTTGGTATTTCTCAATATTTAAAGTTAGAATTCTGCGTAAAAATTTGGAATGTAGGCTCGGTAGGATCAAAGTCGATTTCCAAAAGCTGAGACACCTCTTTAAACCTTTGAGATCGAGTATATTGCAATTTACCAAAGATGGCTGTACCCAATAACCAAGAAGGATCTGCAGAGCTCGAAGCGTGTGAAAGTCAATCGTCAGTTCACCTTTAGAATCATAAGCCACGTCTCTTCCAAGTTGTTTCTAGGCCAACTCGATATTTACTAATAAAACAGCCATGCTTCTATTGCGTACCTACGACTCTACAAGCTATAACGTAAAGGTATTCCGTTAAAGACGACTGAGAATGGACAATGATGCATAAATTATGGAGACCCAACAATAATCACCATGTAGGAGTGTCACTTCCTCAAAACTCATCAAGGTATGTCTCCAAACCTACCAGCAAATATTTCTGTTCGACTGCTGATTGGGGATTGTTGATAACGCAGAAGTGGTCAAAACTCTAGATTAACAAAACATTTGGGAGCGTTGAGATAATATTTTAAAAGAAATTCCATTACTATCAAGCTTTTAAAATAACTACAAGTGCTTATGATTTTATATCGGAACTACAACAGGTTTATGGACGACTGAAGTGTTTTCTCAGGGATTTCAGTTTTGTTTAGACTAAAAGCTGATAAAGCCGAGATGAAAGATGTTCATTCCCCGAAATTTCAGTCCTTTAGTTTTATAGTGCCATATAAAATATTTAAAAAAGATTGTGTTCCACCTGAAATGTTAATTCTTTCAGATATGGCACTGAACCATTACCGAGGAAAGTGGGTTCATTAACTCCTTATCTATATTTACTGGCATAGTGTTTCACAATGCATCGCTTCTGTTTTTATTCGAAACGGCTATGTATGTCATTCTTCATGAATATGAAAATCTAAATGTCATAAGTATGGCCTGTGCGTCCTACATCGATTATCTGGGGTCATTCCATCTAATGACGTTTTTTTAATTAATGAATTCCTTGTGTTGACCTCTCAGATTGACGATCTTCATCGAAAAAGGTGTACACCGATATAGCACACCTATACAGAGTAATGTGACTCACTCTTCATTAACGTGAGATAAATACGTATTACTATTCCATATTCATGAGAGAATTAAGCGAGGTATCATTCAAAATAGCTGCTATAGCATTATAATATACTGGAAGCTCAAAGAATTTTGATCATATATTATATAAACATAGAACCAAGCATGTTTCGAAGTAATAAAATATAATGCTTGGTCTGTGGAGTCTTTTTGAAATTTACTCAGGTATTTTTTCGGAATCAACATCAATATCATGAGCAAAGTAAATTCGGATTTAATCCCGGACGATATATCAGACATTAAAATAACGATTGCTGAGTGCTTCATGAAATTAGATAAAAATTTGAGATGTCTACACTAGATTAGATACAGATAATGACTATTGTTAGATCTTCAGATTCGGATGTCAAAAGCAGTATTCATGTTTTTTGAGATATAGATACATTCTAAAGAAATCCTCATGAGGAGCTCAGATAAATTATGTAATGACAATGATAATCGTAGTTGTGATAAACTTCTGTATATTTAAATTTACCATTTCTACATTGGAATAACTGAAATTGTTTTGAGTGCATTGAGGGTACAGAGGTATGATCCCTACCAAGTAGAATACTCGGTAGAATATATCTATTAACATGGTCAAACTCAACCAACCTATGAACAAACAATTAAGTTAAAAATCTAAAAAACTGATTTGTTGAATGATTTGAATAGACCTCGGAATAGACCAATTGGATTCCGAAGATTTTTTATTCAATTTTCAATTCTTAGTTTAGGTGGGTTTACAAATGTACCAATAGGAATAATAATTGGTCAGATTTGTGTTCTATGAACTAACAATTAAGTTGAAAATCTAAGAAACTGATTTGTTGAATGATTTGAATAGACCTCGGAATAGACCAATTGGGTTCCGAAGATTTTTTATTCATTTTTCAATTCTTAGTTTAGGTGGGTTTACAAATGTACCAATAGGAATAATAATTGGTCAGATTTGTGTTCTAGTTAGATTTTCATCATCATTACTGGTGGAGTTACTAGTCAATTTATCCAACTGTTAAGCTGAGCTCTTATGAATTGATAGGTATTATTATTAGAACCTCATTTTCAATAAATACATTTGCCGGTATGATGGAAACAAATGAAAAAACAATATTGGTTGTCAAAACAATAATATTTCTAATGAACACTGATGATATTTTCAGATAAATACGTGTTTAATGATCGGAGACCAGTTGCTTCCACCAAACAGTCAAAAATAGCCGTATGCCAAAAAATAAAGGAGGTCCAAAAGATTTCTACTCCTTACCTCCAAATTCTCCAAAATCCTCGTACACTCCCTCTGGGGAACATTGTCCGAAATTTTGACGACCAAATCCTCGTAGGCCCCATTCCTCAACTCCAAACTCCCCCCAATCGTCAGCAGACCAGCAAACAACAGAACCCCGCTAATCATTTTGGCAAAGTCTCTCGCACCTACTCAAAATGTCATAATAACTCCAACAGCACAAAACCTAGCACTGAATGTTCGGTATGGATTTCACAAATCACCGGGTCCTATTGATTAACGGTTACCAAGGTAACAGCAACAACAACAAAACGTTCGTTACGCCGGGTGAACTCACCGGAAGAAGTAACCAGTCTTCTTCTTCTTTGACGAGAGCTGAACTGGACTCTGACGAGCAAAACGTCACACTGACTCGTGAGCGGTGAACGTGTAGTCAGAGAGTGACTGAAAAGTCTTCTTCCTCCCACTACTATCGTGAGATGCACTCCGTAGTGCATTTGCAGTAAACCACCAAAGAGCTTTGTGTTAGTGTGTAAGGCGGTAGCTATTGCCTGGAGGGATAGTTGGTAGTTCTCACGAAGACCGGCGCAGTGCTGTGGCGCTGCTGTCGGTGTCGAAATGAAGGTTCAGACCGCGGCTACATATGAATTCAGGCGTTATAAGAGGTCATTTCGCGCCAAAATGGGAAGGGTTATGGAAAACAATTGAGAGACAACTTATGAATTCCGAAAATTTGGAGTTTTTGAGCTCGACTGTGAATATTGTCATAGGGTATATAGGTCAGACTGGTAGAATGTTCAATTAACGCTTTTACGAACATCATTTGAATTTTTTACCTACTACCTGATGCTAAGATAGAAACATCGAGTTCTATTCCTTGTTCTTTGACTGAATATCGCGTTCTTGATGATTTTGGAAGAAAAATACTCTATGATTTTACCAAATATTTCCTATTTGAGTTGATAACTGATAAAATCTGTATGGCACAACATTTTGGGAGAAATTCACTGAAGAAGCTGAATAATGAAAAATCTCAATATTTCGATATGAAATATATTTGTATCAATATTGTATGCCAAAGGGGTGAAAAGATACATTGCGACCTAAAAGATCTATTGTGCCCCCTTATTTCACTATGACTGATGATGTTCTCCATAGCTGAAGCAATTTCTCTAGTCTTAAATTCCTCAGAAAAGTTCAGGATTTGAGGTGGTTCCAACTCCTCCTTTTCAATTATGTATGCTTCTAGGTTTCTAGTGTAGGGTTCTGTTCTGCGTTATCTCGCTTCAAAATGGAAAAAGTCATTGAAAACAATGGAGACACTACTTATGAATTCCGAAAATCCTATAGGTCAGACAGGTAGAATGTTCAATTACCGTTTTTACGAACATCATCTGAATTTTTTTGATGAAATGAAAAAAAATTGAAGAATGAGCCTTGGAACTTACTCTTGATAGCTTATGATTGAAACTACCTGATGCTGAGATAGAAAATTGAGTTCTATTCCTTGTTTTTTTGGCTGAATATCGAGTTCTTGATTCTGAAACAACATTGAGTGCCAAGTTGGTTATCACTAAATTTTAAGTCAGAAGGTGAAATGAAATACAAAATGCCCTTTCTTAAGAAGAAGTTGTGAGGTACTCCACTTCTCTCTGCTTTTACCAAATTTTTCCCATTTGAGTTGATAACTGATAAAATCTCCATATTTTGGGAGAAATTAACTGAAGAAGCTGAATAATGAAAAATCTCAATATTTCGATATAAAATATATTTGTATCAATATTGTATGCCAAAGGGATGAATAGATCCACTGCGACCCACAAAGTCTATTATGCCATTGTGCCCCTTTATTTCACCATGACTGATGATGTTCTCCATAGCTAAAGCGATTTCTTCTATATCTCTCAGAAAATTCCAGGATTTGAGGTTGTTCCAGCTAGGATGGCTCCTCCTCTTCAATTATCTGTGCTTCTAGGTTTCTTGTGCAGGGTTCCTTAAAGTGCCACATCCCTTAAGTATGTGGATAAAGGTCTCTTCATCTTCCCCACAGAACCTGCCATCTTCCTCTTCTTAGCCGAAGGTTCCTAAGATATCCTTTCAACCAGCAATGCCCTGTTAGGACTCCCGTTAGTAAGAACTTTATTTTTTGCTCATGCTGATATATGCGATCTTTCCCTTGTGTTATATTATATACCCAGAAGTATCTTAGCCTGTCTGAGACATTGCAGATTTTTTCCAGATGTCGCATCTCTGTTCAGCTTTTTCGTTCCTGATTTCTTTAGATGCCAATAATTCCCAGAAAAAAGGAGAGAAATCTCGCGAGTATTCTATTTTCTAGTGGAACAGGCCATGCTGAATCGATTGAGACCTCGACCAGGTCGCTAGGATCTATAGTTTTTCAGATATCAACAAGTACGCTGAGAAACAGCAATTCACTTCCTTTATTTAATCGAAATTCCAACAAGTTACAGTGGAAACATCGGATATCTGTTCATAAATTTCTATTTGTCAGTTCTCAATCAATCTTTTCGAATTGTTCCAGAATTTTAAACCGAGAATTGAAAATTTTCATTTTTGAACTTGCGAAATAAAGCTAGAGATCTTCAAGAGCCGATACAACAATTTATTTTCAGATGCCGATGAATCCCATAAAAAAAAACAAAATGACCCGAATATCTCATTTCACATAGTGAAACAGGCCGTGCTCAATTGATTGAGATCTCGACTATCTCGCTAGGACCTATATTTCTTGAGATATTTACGGCAAAATCACGCTTTAAAATAGCTATCCACTTACTGTAATCATTCGAAACACCAACAAGTTAATGTATGAAAATTCAGATATTTGATCACATCTCCTTGTTCTCAACTTTCAAATCAGTCTTTCTGAATTTCTTCAGAATCTTGAACCAAGAATTGAAAATTTTCAATTTTAACTTGCGAAAAAAATCGACAAAGCTTTGAGAGACGATACAACGATTTTCAGATGCCAATAATTTCCAGAAAAACTGCTGCTGATACCGGGTTCTGTCCCCACAAAGTGTATTTGAGCTTATTTTCTGTGATTTTTGTTACATCATTTCCTTCTACTGTATTTCTGTTGGCTAGCGCGTTCAGTTTTCCCAAACAATTTAAGATATTTTCATGGATGATGCTCTTCTGAAATATTAACAATTGTTCCTCCCTTGGAAGTCCCTGCGAGATCAACCCGTCGAGTTGAGACTTCGCACCCCTTCGTGGTCACTTTGGAGACTTGCAGAACATCTACTTCCAAAGATTCGTTCATCCAACGAACAGTGAGGCTCTGGAACACATTGCCAATGGAGGTGTTCCCCGAGGCATATCACCTCCAGAAATTCAAGAAGAACACCAATTCCTACCTTATTTCCCTTGGTTCTCACGATGTTCTCTGAACATTACAGGATATCCCTTTTCGTGGGAACCAGAACATAAAAAAAACCTTTTAAAAAATATTCCAGCTCAATCTTTGGTTTCGGAGCCACCTGATTTTAGAGGGGATTTTGTATCTTCTGAACGATACATATTAGGTCTCCACTCTTGAATTCAATATAATGCTGAAATCTGAAGTATAACTTTTCGAAGCTGATGAATGAATGAGACCTCCTCAGCTCAGACTTTCCAATAAAATCTCTACAGAATGAGATAAAATAGCGTTGTATTTCCATCAGCAACACTCTTTCATGAGATAATCATGTCAGATCCATTGCAAAAGCTGCTTCACATAAACTCGGATTCTTGTTCCGTGCGAAAAGCTACTTTACACCTCAACAGCTTCTCATGATCTACAAAGCGCAGATACGGTCTGTTCCAGAATACTGTTCCCATATATAGGGTTCAGCACCAAAACATACGCTGATGCTCCATTCGCCTGGTGGGTGACGCCACACTCACTCACTCTTTGACATCATTGGAACACCGTAGAAAGGTCGGCGACCTATCACTTTTCTATCGATACTTCCACGGGAAATGTTCTTCGGAAATCTCTGCTATCATCCCTTCACTAGCAATACCAGTCAGACGAACTAGACAAGCCCAGTCAGCACTTCCTTTCGTTGTCAACCTCGAAAGATGTCGAACAGCACTTCATCAAAACTCCTTCATCCATAGAACGGCTAGGCTCTGGAATTCATTGCCTGAGGAAGTATTCCCAACAACATATAATCTCCAGAAGTTCAAAAAAAATCCGATACCTACCTCCTATCCCTATCCTCCTTAGGAACGCACGATGTTCTTTGAACATTATAGGGATTTCCTTTCGTGCGCTCCAAGCGATAAATAAAAAAATAAATAAATAATTATAATTAGGGAAATCGTAATGGATGGACTCGAAAGTGACTAAAATTAAAATGAATTCCTGCATCTTGTAAACAACTGAAAATTTAGAGTGAGTTATCTGGATGATCAATAAACAGCGAAACAAAAAATGTGCTAAAATAGCACTACTATAATTATTATCTGGGTGGGAAGAGATTATAAGACTTCGTTCGATGAGATAAATATTTATGCTACTGCATTGCATGGGTTGTTGATAACATATTGATGATTCTATCAATTATGTCAATGTTTAGATTACGGTCTCATCGAACAGTGTGAGAACATAATTAAATAAAATAGTAGATTGTTTCATCAATCAAAAGTGACACTTTGTTTCACAAGCGAATTTTGCATTTGCGAGGCGGAGCGTATAGCGAAGCCGAGCGAAAGCAAAATTTGCGAGTCGAACAAAGTCACTTTTGATTCGAATGAAACATGCTATTTTTTCTGCAACCGAAACAATTAACTCAAATAAACATGTGAAGTAACCACCAATGCCGTGCCATATGTATGCAATGCAACAAATATTGACAAATAATCCATGTGGTGAGAATATTCTAACTGCATTAACAGCAGATTAGGTTTTCTAGAATGTTCGAATTGTAGTTTCAATGTAAATACAACCACAGAGTGAGATATTTGTGTATGGACCAGGTGCTCTAATGGCAAATACCGCGCCAGTGCCAACATAGGAACAAAGACGTGGAAAATGTTAGGTTAGTGAGCATATCAACAATGATAATAGTGATTATTTCTTCCTCTCCATACTACACTGTGTTCGACTTGATAATCAAATGAAGCTAAACAATATCGTTGTTTGAGACGAAAAACTATTGCTTGTCGTGATTATTCAAAAACAAGTTATTCACCCCGAGAATAACGAATGAAATACAGATCAAGCAAGTATTTGAATCTTGAAGGCTTTCCTGATCAAAACAAAAATACTTAACTGAGATGTTTATAATTCCAATACTAAACTATAATAAGGTGTATTTATATCTCCAGCATGGGTGTAAAATGCCAAATCTGCTGAAATCGGAAACAAATCAGGTATGCGTCTCAACCCAAAAAACCAACCGTTGTTTATTCTTGATGACGCCTAGGAACTAAATATGTTGCCTAGCAACATACCTATTTTTGTGTCAGTAATAGAAACGTCAAT